CAGGGCCCCTTGGGTTGGGGTGTAGGGTTTGAGCATAGCTTGAAGGGAGGGGGGCAGTTCCTCTTGCTGTTCCGTAGGTAAGCACCATAGTCTTGTAGAGGATGCAAGCTTCAACTAGAAGCCAGTGGAGTGTGCAGAGGAGGGTGGTGACAAGAGAACTTGGGAAGGTTGAAAACCAGGCGGGCTGCAGCGTTCTGGATAAGTTGCAGGGGTTTGATGGCAGAAGCGGGGAGCCCAGCTAACAGCGAGTTGCAGTAGTCCAGATGGGAGAAGACAAGTGCCTGGATTAGGATCTGCGCCGCTTCCTGTGTGAGGTAGGGTCGTACTCTACAGATGTTGTAGAGCATGAACCTGCAGGAGTGGGTCACTGCTTTTATGTTTGCAGAGAACAACAGGGTGTTGTCCAGGGTCACGCCAAGGTTATTTGCATTTTGGGAGGGCGACACTGTGGAGTTGTCAACCGTGATGGAGAGGTCTTTGAGTAGGTAGGCCTTCCCCGAGAGGAAGAGCAGTTCCATCTATTCGAGGTTGAGCTTGAGGTAGTGGGCCAACATCCAAGTTAAGATATCTGCCAGGCACACAGAGATGCGTGTCGCCACCTGGGTGTCAGAAGGGGGGAAGGAGAAAAGTAGTTGAGTGTCATCCGCATAGCAATGATAGGAGAGACCATGTGAGGATATGACGGAGCCGAGTGACTTGGTGTATAGAGAGAAGAGGGCCTAGAACCAAGCCCTGGGGGACACCAATAGTGAGAGTATGTGGTGCAGACACAGATCCGCTCCACGTCACTTGGTAGGAGCGGCCTGCCAGGTAGGATGCAATCCAAGAGTGTGCAGAGCCTGAGACGCCCAGCCATGAGAGGGTGGAGAGGAGGATCTGATGGTTCACGGTGTCGAAGGCAGCGGACAGATCTAGGAGGATGAGAACAGAGGAGAGAGTGTCAGCTTTGGCAGCGCGGAGAGCCTCTGTGAAACAGAGAAGAGGAGTCTCGGTTGAGTGACCCGTCTTGAAGCCTGACTGGTTAGGGTCAAGAAGATAGCTGGCTGGACTAACTAGACTAATTTACCAATCTATAATAGTTTCATGCTGCAATAAGTAACTTTTTGGGGGACCCGACAAAATTCACATAGAAATGTGACTTATAGAGCTGTCATTCTCATTGAAAGCAAGTCTAAGAAGCGGTATATCTGTTGTTTTATGTGCTCTATTTCTATGCTTCCCATTCTTAAGTTTCATTTTTGCATCTTTAACTTTCGGTTTTGTACACCAGCTTCAAACACAATATTTTGGGTTATGGAATAGATATTTCACAGCAGTTTAGATGGTACAATGATTCTCTACACTATATTTGCTTGTTTTGTCACATAAACTGAAATTAGGCTAACTAAATTATTATAATTTTTGCAACCAGGAAATTGCGTTGCGATTTCTGCATAGTGCATCTTTAATTGACATGGGCTAATTGAGTGACATAACAAGAGGAAAACTGCTGATGCACAATCAAGTTTTGAAATTGCACCTTGTGTATTATACTATTCAAACTCTCAACAGTAGTTTGAGACCCCGACTGATTGTTGTTGAAACAATTAGAGGTCCGGACCTCGGTGTCCTCATATGCTCTACTGCACATTACAAGGATGATTTATGGTCAATGTATGGATACAGGTGTATCATTCAGTGTTTGAGTGAAACAATCCTGTTCCCAGCCTCCCCTTTGCGGGGTCAACAAAAATACAGTATCACAATTCAATTTACTCCAGCTATAGGGTTTGCCTATCATATTATCCGTAATGGATGTTGGGTAGGCTATGTCTCTATTGTTTTGTCATGGATTGTGGCCAGCTACAGAGTGAGTGATGGCCATAAGAGGCAGACACGACTAGTTGTCACTGAAGTTGTGGCATTGATCCATCATGGCCCAGGGCTGTTCGAGGCAAAGAGGTAACATGTTCCATATGCCACAGTGAGAAAGGGGGGGTCACACAGTACAAGTCTCCCTCCAGCACAAACCAAGTAAGGTAAGAGCTGGGGTGGGCAGTGACTGATGTATAGCCCTACGGCAATGAATCTGCCATTGGAAACATGGGTATTCCATTCTTGCACTAAAAGATGAATGTATGGTGGGTTACACCATTTCATTTATTAATGCAAGCATGGAAAGTGATTGCTGATATCAACCTACAAGTCTCCTGCAAGGTCACTTACATACTTAAATGGCTAATTCATAACTCACCTTAAAAGACATGAGTCAATCATTTATCCAAGAGAAAATCATTGGGTTGACATTCACCTAACAGCACGTTTGAGGTGCGTCACTCAGTCATCTGACTCCAGCAAACACACAGCTCAAACCAAATGTCACCCCATTTAAAAAATCTATTATTATTGGCCACCATCTAGTGGCCTATCATTGAACTGCAGATAGCCCTTCACAGCTACCCTTCGAGTTTTGTGGCTACTGGCTGGCATATGCTGATCATGTTAAATGGCACACCCAGTCCATAAGCACTAAAAGCATCCCACATTATGGCTTTAGAGTATATTATAAAAATGTGTACACTGGTCTTACTTACTTAGGCCCAATTGCTTCTTTGGGAGCATAGGCCATCGACCACTCCTCTCCTTAGTATCAGCATGAAGCTCCCGCCTCCAGGTGTTTCTTGGGCACCCTCTTTTTCTTCTCCCTTGAGTTCCAGGATAGAGCTTGCCGGGTGATGATGGAAAGTGGCTTTCAAGGTTGTGGAAGATCCATCCACATCTATTCCGCCAGATCTCCTCATCCACCAGAAGTACACAGGTGTACCTCAGTGATAGTGAAAATAAGTGCAAAGAGAACAGTCAAACAAATCCACATGCAGAAAATGAGGAGACAAATTCAGTAGGGTCTTTTGTCATTTATTTAAAAAAAAATATTTAACCTGATTCCAGGTTAGCGGTTACATTAAATGTTAGCTTCTACCTCCAGTCCCCACCCCCAAAATACCACCCTCAGTCCCATATTGCAATAAACAAGCCTAAAACTACTTACACAGAATCCTTGATTTGTTTCGATGACAGACATTTACAGGAAGATACTATAACAGCTCAAAAAAGGGTATAAGAAAGTTACAATAAACTTGCATGCACATCGAGGATAAAAAGTAAACATTTGCTTTTGAAAATATAAAAAGGAACTATTATATTTGACCAGGGCCTAGAAATGAACTAAAAGTTATATATATATTTATATATATATATTTGTTCTGTGTTTCGCCTCTAAAAGACATTCTTAGAAAAACCTGATAGGGCCTGTACTGGAGAACATTGGTATAGGCAGAGAAATACATACAACATCATTTGGGGAATTTTGCAGTTAAGTGCAACCTGGTATGTGGGACAAGCCACACAATTACACAAATATTTATTTCCACCATAGCCTAAAATAATGCATATGACTAAATGTATAATGTATCAACTTATTAACAGTAAAGAAAATCCAAAGTGGCTTCAATGTTCAAGTTATTTTCAACAAATTCCAGAAAAAAACTTTACCACAAATTGTACTTCATGAAATAATCATATGCATTCTTACAAGAGTGGAATAAAATGTCATGATATTCTCTGATGAATAATTAACCATTTGTTCACTAAGATAAAAATAAAAGATTAGTTGACTGAAAAAGAAAACAGAAGAGGTCATAATAAGAGGATGTGGCATCTAGTCACAATAAAACAAGGGACCTAGAGGTAACAAATTACATTCAGAAATCAATACACTACACTTCAGAGGAAGACTCATATTGTTTACAATATTGTCCTGCTTTCATTGGCCAAACTTATGACATCAACAGATAAAATAATCAGGGGACACGGCACTGCTCTGATTGAGCACCAAGATGGCGGGTATGCTCTGCAATATTCAAAAGTGAAAGACGTTCCTACGCCAGTGTACTGAAAATGTACAGAGGTCAGCTATGTACAGTTTTGGCCGTCCCATCTTATATAAAGCAGTGATATACACAATATCACTGACATGGTGGCGCACAATCATTCATGGCATACATTCATCAGTGAGGATGGTAGATCAAGCAAGAGGCAGGCCGGGAAATACATATACAGGGGGCCATTATGCCTAGTGGTTGTCATGTTATGAAACAAACTGTTTATAGTGAATTATTGTATGGTAATTTCTTCTGCCCAAAAAGTCTAAATTCTATAAGTTAAAATCGTATTTAATAACCTCTCAGACCAGTTACCATCTAGCAGACATTTTTGCTAAAACTTTACATAATGCCAGGTTAAGAAATAAGAGACAATGTCAGTTATCATACACAGAATAACAGCAATCATATTCCACTAATAAATGATCATCTTCAGATCATTCAATTTGACTGTATATGCTGCTGAGGATGCCCAACATGATTGTTCAGAATAATCTGAAATGCACCACTCAGAGGCAAACGAGGTTCAGTATGTCAAAAGTCAAATGATTGGAGACAACCCAAAACGCACATAAGCCTATTTCAAGAGAGGGCCCTCCTCATCACGAGGGCGAAAAATACTTGTGAAGCTGGATGAGAAGTGTTGATTCTTTTTCAGTGAAAGTAATTGAATAGGTTGTTTATGTAGCAGGGCTGAAGCTAGGAGGTGGACATGGGGTTCTGCACCGTCTTGATAACTATGCAACAACTCCTTCACATTGAGATGCATGTTGATGATGCTATTAAGAGAAAGGAAAAGACATGTGGCATTCATCCAAGAGGGTATTACAAAATGCTTGTTTTATGTTTGGTCGATTTTGAACACATCCCTTTAAAAGTTAGTGAAAACAAAAAGAACCCTGTCAAGTCTATAATTCCCCATGTTTCTTTTTCTGACATGGCATTACATTTTATTGTTGTTTTTTCCTCATATAAAATGTTTTAGAAGCGGGAAACCACTATGACTGCATACAATGTTTGTTTTTTTACAGGGTAAAAATAAAAAGGAATAGCTCCCAGCGAGTGTTTGGGCGGTGCTTTTCAGTCAGAGTCGCTGCTGTCAGAACTGGACCCACTGGAGCTGCTGCTACCCGAGTCTGAAGAACTACTGCTGCCGCTGAGATGGGACGCACCGGTACCGGAACCAGCGCCCTTCTCTGGAAGGAGAGAGAGAGTGAGAGAGGATCATGCATGAGACGTGGCCAAACGTATTATATATCTATGTCAATGAGGTGCAAATGCTAAAGATAAATACTTTCTCAGATTTATTTTTTTACATTTTTGTATCAGAGTGCATACAAATGTTTTGCTCATGTTTAAAAAGGACTTGCACTTTTGTTATGATTGATAAAGCTAAACACACACAATAAGTACCACTGTTGAATTATCACTGTGAATCATTGTAATGTTTGTTTAAGTGTCAATTAATCCTGTAAGGGGGGGGGGGGCAATTTGAAACAAAAAAAAATCCATTCATTCATACACACACGGTGACACAAGTGTTGAAGAGACAGGAGATGAAAGAGGAATTCCCCCCCCACACACTTACATCTGTTACAGTAACCATACAACTATCCAACTCAATAAATATTAGGGATGGGCATTTGAAATAAATATGTTATCCGGATAGTCGAAATACATGCAAAAATAAATAAATATATATGTATATCTTTCAGCCTGCGCGACTTGGGAGAGAAGTGCTGCTCTGCTTGGTTGCAGCAGTGCGGGGGATAAGCATGGGACGGTGTGTTTGACACGGGAGGGAGGGAGAGTAGCCATACAGACTCGCGCTAGTTAGACAATATTATTATTGAATTAATAATTTCATATATATTATTATTAAATGTGCATTTTTGTAATGTATACTTTCACAAGTATTCAGGGTATTTTGAAGTACCGACGGTATGATTTTCAAAACTGTCCCAATGTATTTATTTTTATTAAATTAAAATTCAATTGAGGCTGTCACATGGTATGTTTGTTTACAAAAAGCACATGGAGCAAACGTGATGTGACGATCCACTGTTGAGGGGCACAAGAGGTGATCAAGTTAACGTTACACTTGAAATTCAATAATGTTTGGCAGCTAAATATTCTAAGTTATAAGTGAAGTTATAAGTTAACCATCTAAGACAGGGGTGTCAAACTCATTTTAGCTCAGGGGCCACATGGAGGAAAATCTATTCCCAAGTGGGCCGGACCGGAAAAATCATGGTATATATAACTTAAAAACAACAACTTCAGATTGTTTTCTTTGTTTTAATACGATCAACATACAACATAAAGCTGGAGCCTGAGGACAGTGTGTCCAAAATAGTACAAGCACAACATCACTATTAATCATAAAACACGTCAAGTTTATTTGAAAATTCTAAAGAAAAAGAACACACAAACACACAATGCCTCAGTGATTAACAGAACTGTTTCACAGATCACAGAACTATATCAGGGTGTCATTTCTCAGGCAGAAATGTAGATAAAAAAAATGAAATCCTGTTCCCCAAACAAGTGCAAGAACCACAGAGTCAAGAATAGGTTAAATATACAAATAAAATAAAATCAATTAAAAACAATAGCACATCAACATAAAAACATATAAACATAAAGCTGGAGCCTGAGGACAGTGTCCAAAAGCACAACATCACTATTAATCATAAAACACCTCAAGTTATTTGAAAGTTCTGAGGACAAAGAACACACAAACACACAATGCCTCAGTGATTCACAGAAGTATATCACAGATCACAGAACTATATCAGGGTGTCATTTCTCAGGCAGAAATGTAGATACAAATAATGAAATCCTGTTCCCCAAACAAGTGCAAGAACCACAGAGTCAAGAATAGGTTAAATATACAAATAAAATAAAATAAATTAAAAACAATAGCACATCAACATAAAAACATAAATCTGAAAGCGTTGCTCAAACTCCCGTAACAGTCCAGTTATTTTATCTTTGAACCGCTTCATGTCTGCCACATGTTGGGTCGCGCACACATTTTTCAGACAGGGGAAGTGAGCTGCATCACCACCGGCAAGTTGCGTCTCCCACAATGACAGCTTCAACTTGAAAGAACGTATGCTGTCATAATACTGCGTGACAACTTTGTTGCGCCCTTGCAGCTGTTTGTTCAAGTTATTCAGGTGCTCTGTAACATCCACCATAAATGCAAGGTCCGGCATCCATTCTGCGGAATGAAATTCTAACATTGGTTTGCCCTTTTCTTCCATGAACTGTTCAATTTCTTCTCGTAAATCAAAGAAACGCCTCAGCACAGCACCTCGGCTTAACCATCTTACCTCAGTGTGGTATGGCAGGCCATAGATGTGGTCTTTCTCTCTGAGAAGGCTGTCAAACTGACGGTGATTCAGGCTTCTGGATCGGATGAAATTAATAGTTTGGATGACCACCTTCATGACGTTATCCATCTTTAATGACTTGCAACACAAAGCCTCCTAGTGCAAAATACAGTGAAAAGTCAAAAAATCACGTCCTCCATTTGCAGATTGCACTTTCTCTCTGAACTTTGTCACGCCTGCTTTTTTCCCGATCATTGAGGGCGCACCATCTGTAGCCAGGCTGACAGCGGGGGACCAGTCCACTCCGACCCTGTCCAGCGCGCCGACGAGTGCGGTAAAAATATCAGCTGCTGTCGTTGTATCTGTCATCGGCACCAACTCCACGAACTCCTCGGTGACGGTCAATGTGTCATCAACTCCGCGGATGAAAAAATGGCCAATTGTGCAACATCTGTAATGTCCGTGCTTTCATCAATTGCAACTGAAAACGCAATAAATGACTTTACTTTTTGCTTCAACTGGCTGTCCAAATCCACTGAAAGATCGGAAATCCTGTCTGCAACTGTGTTTCTTGTCAGGCTGATATTTGCAAAAGCCTGCCGCTTTTCAGGGCACACAATCTCCGCTGCCTTCATCATGCATGTTTTTACAAATTCACCCTCACTAAATGGTTTTGAAGCCACTGTGATTTCATTAGCAATGAGGTAGCTAGCTTTCACTGCAGCGTCACTGATGTCTCGGCTGTGAGTAAACACAGACTGCTGTTTCTTCAGACCCGCCAACAGTTCAATCACCTTCTCTCATCTCCGCTGTCCTTGAAAGTTGTCATATTTGTCGGCATGAAGACTCACATAGTGGCGACGAAGGTTATATTCTTTCAGCACTGCAACATGCTCTGAACACACCAAACATACAGCTTTTCCATTCAATTCCGTGATTAAATAGGATGACCATTTTTCTTGGAACACTCTGCACTCTGCGTCCACTTTTCTCTTTTTTGACAGAGACATATTGGGGCAATGAGGGTGCCAAAGCACATAATGTTAAAAGTAGAAGCCGTAATAAATATCGCGGGCAAAACAAAGTAGCTCATTGGCTGCACGTGCTTGACCTACTTGCTCTGCCCCGGTATAAACAGTTTGCTTGCTTAACACAATTGCTATTGTGCCATCCAGTGGACGCAATTGGAACAGCAGTTTATTTTATTGAAAAATTGCAGCGCATTTTTATACTTAAAAAAAAAAATAATAATAATAATTTTTATTCTTCTCCTAAATCATCTCGCGGGCTGGATTAAACCCATTTGCGGGCCTGATCCGGCCCGCGGGCCGTACGTTTGACACCCCTGATCTAAGATGTGGAAAATACATTTTCTCCAGCTCAGGCCTCCATCTATAACGTTAGGTGGCTAGCTTACAATATCAAGCTTCTTGTTTACAGCAGAGACAATCAATTCCCTTCTGGAACAAGTGTAAGTAGCATTTTGAGATAGTTGTATAACGTTATGTGCTGGGCTGTCTGTCCTTACATTTAGTTTATGTTCTCGTGCTTGTTAGTATTTAGCTAGTGTCCGCTATGGGAGTTTTTATTTTTTAATGTTTTTAAAGAAATAGCGGCAATGTTAACCTGGTATGGCACAGGAACGGTATGAACATATGGAAATCTGGATACTGCCCAACCATAACATCTGTTCAAATATTCAAATAACCGTGCCCATCCCTAATAAAATATATGTAATAGTATATATAGATTTATAACCATAAAAGATCGGATGACTAACTTCCTGGACCACAGGATACCAACAATGAATGGGTGAACTAGGTTAAAATGGGGAAGCAAGACAGGGTCCACGTGCCCTCGCCCTTACTCTACTCTATGCAACTCCTGCTGTCCCTTACGCTATGGTACCTTTTTTGGACGTTTTCTTTTTGTCGGTTTTGTTCTTGTTGCTGTTGTTACTGTTCAGCTGGCCGCTGACATCCTGTAGCCTCTTTTCTAACTCTTTCTTCTTTTCCTGAGCCAGCTCCTCCTTGGATCTCGCTCCCTTGCCCCCAGCGGCCGCTGCAGGAGACACACAGCGGCACGCTGTGAGCACCATGGCCTTCCTGCCCGGACCCCCGCCGCTGTGGTGACAGCTAGCTAGCTAGCAGCTATGGCCTAGCGCCTTACGCCTATGGCCTAATGCCTACAACCTGGAGGACTACAGAGGGCAGCAGGTTCAAAGCACAGGTGAGCCTTTACACTCTTGGACTTGAACAAACTTCATCTCACTTGCTAAATTTGCTGTTAAGCGAGGACTGTACAGGAGTTTGTCCAGGAGTTATCTGTCACATGTTATGACACACTGCCTGACTCCACTGCGCTGGGTCCGAGTAGGAGCCGATATTAGCAACACAACAGCAAACCCTGTTCAGGCCCATACCATTTTTTTTATACAGGAGGTCCATGTATACAGCATCTACATCCAGAATGGCAAGAATTTGGCAAACAGTCCTTTGTGTTCAGGTAGGCTACATGTACACAAGGTCAATTGGGCATAGTATTTTGTTATTTCGTTGACCTAGCAGCCATTGACCAAAAAACCAAAAGGTCAGGCTAAAATTCTTTTTTAGGAGTTCAAAAAGTTGGGGACCACCTGTATATCAAAAAATAGCAGTCAACTGGAAGACATGCAACTAGGTAGAGGGAAGGAACATAATCTAGCTAGGGGAAAAAAATACCAAAAAGGGAAAGAAAATGTATCTAGTACTTATAGCAAAAGTAAGAAGAGAAGCGAGTAAAAGCCGCTACACACTTCGCGCAAACTATGCAAATGTAGCGATGGAGCATAATTTTCTAAGTAGTTCTACGTACTTTTGTGCGGCTCAAAATTTGGAACGGACCGCATACGACGCTCCGTCGCTCTGTTTGCGTAGAGCCCTTAACAGTAAAGCAAGAGAAGGTAGGAGAAAATACTTAATGGAGGGAGAAGTAGTAGTAGCAGGCTGAAGGACAGTGAAGGTATCAGTGAGGTTCAAGCAGGTTCAATGCTTGAGGTCTTCGACCTCAGGACTTACGTTGGGGTTTCCGCTGTTTCTTCTGTAAACAGGACTTGACGTATCGCTCGAGTTCGCGTAGGGTGGAGGGCTTGAGCGTCTCAAAGTCAATCTCGATCTCGTCTGGATTGGAGTCTCGCAGCGAGGGCTCTCGGGACTGGATGATGTGCACTACACGACCCAGCTTCTCCCCTGGGAGCCGGTTGATGTCCAGGCTGAGCTGGCGCTTCTCGTCGTACGCCATGGGCAGAGACTCCTCCTCGTCAGATTCGTAGCCCCTGCCCCCCTTCTTTGGTTGCCTGGAAGATCAAGAGGCCAGAGCAGTAATGACAAACAGTCAAGGCTTTCATGGTGTTTTTTATTATGAGAGGCTGAGCAGAGCCCTAATACGTCAGAGAAAGGGAGGCCTTACCTGGAGCCAGTCACTGTGCTGTTGGCTTTCCTGGAGGGCTTCTTCTGCTGGCCCTGCTTGGCAGGCTGCCCAGGCTTGGCCTTCTTCTCGTCCGTCTTGGTTTTGCTATGCTTGTTGTCCTTGTCTTTCTTCTTGTCTTTTTCTTTCTTTTCTTTCTTCTTCTTCGGTTTGCTCACAGGGGCCTGAGAGAGCGCGGCAAGCTGTTCGTGGACGGCCTTTAGCTGGGGAGAGGTGGGGTGGAGGAGTTAGTGGTCTGCCGTAAGAGTATGCTAGCACTTCAAGCCTTGAGGGACTACAAAAGGGGTAGATATGAGTTAACCAGAAGGAAATGCTCCACTTTTTACCACTTGAGTGAATCATTCAAAATAGGAAGTTAGGGAATTTTGTAAGGAAACTAGGGTATATAAAATGTGGCATTACTTTTAGGAAAGCCATGTATACTAAAACAAATCAATACATAGTAAGTTAACCTCCATTCAGTGTTTCGCTTAGGATTTTTTCAGCAGCGGTGGCAAAGGTAATGACTGTGAGAAGGTCACTTCTGGTGACTTAAAAAAAAGAAGACATTCTACACCAAAATGCATGAAAATTATATTATGTTAACACCATCTGAAATATAACTGATGCGCGTTACTGCACTGTAGGCAAATGATGAGGAGCAAGCGGTGGCTGTGTGCTCGGGACTCCCATTCACGCCACTGCTCGCTCGGTTTGCTACAAATATACATTGTAACTTGTCACTCTGATCACAAAGGGATAATGTGAGAATTTGGCAATTAAACTACCTTCAAACTGCACGCAGAACCATAAAAATTGTATAAACGAGTTCATCTGACTCTGGGTAAGTAGAAAAAGGTCTTAGTTGCCAAAATCTCGCACTGCGCCTTTAAAAACGTGTAAATGTACATTTAATTGTATTTATGTATTTTTTTGGAAGTGGCGGCTCGCTGCTGCTAAATAAATATAGGGGAAACACTGACATGGGAAACTCTTTACGTCAACTTTGACATATTGATTGCTTATCTAGTTCTCAACTTATGGAAAAATAGTACTCCATGCTAAGACTTTTTAACAATGGATTTGTATTTTTATCATCAAGTATTTATTTTTTCCTACCCATTCTAAATGTAGCTAGGTAAGCAATCTGAGCAGTTTATCCCTTTGGTGCATAACATGTACTTGAGCAAAAATGAAGAGAGCAGTTTTAAGATATTGAGCAAAATTCCATCCAAAACATCAGTAAATCAGAAAGGAATCCTTTAACAAGGGAGAGGAAAACAAGTTGCATACTCCTTTCATTGCCTCATAATTTAAATTGGACACAACCATCAGGCAATTGAGAGAGAGAAGAGTATGTTTACTTGGGTCAGCCAGCAAACATAACAGGGAGAAGCCAAACACACATTCAACATTTACACAACCATTTAAACTCACACACACCCACATCTGCCATTTAGAGTCCCACCACCCCGCACCTGTAACTCGCCACTCCCTCCCCACTATTAACCCTCTACCGCTTGCTCAACTAATGCAAAAAAATATATAGGTGAAATAGCAGCATCATGATAATAAACCGAGATCAATAAGAGGTTAGTGGGGAGGGGACCGGGAAGTGAAAAGCAAATCACCTGAAAATGCTTGGTGCACCCGTTTTTTCCCCCCTGCCCGCTACCATTGGGGCGCTCCACAGAGATACACTGGTAAGAGAGCCAAAGGGAAATGAGGGGACAAAGATAGAAAACTCCAAAAAAAGAGATCAGAACCATTTTAAAACACCATGTTATGACAAGAGCTACTGTGTGGTACCATTATGCAAAAACTACATTGTGATGTTTTCAAAAAGAAGGCTTTTGTTCAGGTAGTGCATGCAAGCCATCTGTGCCAGTAGATGCATGGAAATGCACAATTTAAAGCGGTAGAGGGTTAAATTTAAGTGCTATCAATAGGGAGATGACGAATCAGTGGAGAAAGCAGTGGTATGCATGGCTGAGGGGAGAGGGGGAGGGGTTAGACTGGATGTAAGGTGGCAACCCCTCCATCTCTGTCTCAGAATGTTGGAATGGATAAGATGGCTGTGATGTGAGAAGAGGTGCGAGGAAGGCCCTCCCTGAGCCCTTCAGGTTAGAGGAGTAGAGTTGGACGGACCTCGGATCTGAAACCCACCTGTTCCGCACCCACCTGTTCCTGGAGCTCGGCGAGCCGGGTGGCCCGCTCCTCCTCCGAGTCAGAGCTGTCCGAGCTGGAGGAGTCGCCACTGCTTGAGTTGTCACCTTTACTGACCAACCCGCCTGCACCGGGGCTCAGCTCCACCGGCTCATCAGGCATCTTAGCAAAACGCATCTCAAACACATCCTGAGACAAAGACACACAGGGATTCATGGCAAAAAGAGTGACAGAGACACATTAGGGATAAACCAACCAATTCAATTTTACATTGATTTTTCAAATGGGATCCAGAGAAATATTTAACCTCCCAAACCTACCTGAAGTTTTCTGGCCATGGCAACAACTTCATGATCTGGAGGGTTATATTTGTAACAATTTGAGAACATTATTCGAACATCCGCTGCAAACATCTGTGCATCTGGGTACTCCCGGCCGTCTATCTTTTTCTGCAAATCAACAGCAAGTGTTATCCAAACAGCGCATGGATGGGCAACCACACAAGCCAACACTAAGGTAATGATTAACTGTAAAAGTGAATTCTGCTTTGTTCTGTGGTGCGTACTTTGACAGTGCTGAGGTCCATGGGGTGCTTGATGATCTCGTGGTAGTCATGTAGCTCCAGAGCTTCAGCATCTACAGGCTTGTAGAAAGGCCAGGCGTACGCTGCGTGTTTCTTCGACAGCATCTCCTTAAGGATACTGTCGCAGTACTTGAGCTGCTCACTCATTCTGCTCCGCTTGCTGCTGTGCTGGCCCAACTCCCCTTCCACCAAGTCTTTCTTGGGAGCTTTGATGGGACGGCCTGTGCTCTCCCGTCTGGACATCACCTTGCCCTGCTTGCCTTCTGAGAGGGGGCTGGGCGACTCACTCCGGCTAGCTGTGATTGCAGATGTCGTGGGGGTGGTGGTGTCTGCTTTCCTTTTTACCCCTTTCTTCTAGATGCACAAAAAAACACAAACACAAAAAGGCACACCCTCACAGGTGAGGTTCCATTCAAAAGACTAAATGAACATTTGTATTCCTGATGAAAAATGTACGGTGACTTACTTTGACAAGAGGTTGTGATGGTGAGACGACGGGTATCATCGGAGCATTGGGCGAGCTCTGGACAGCTGGGACGTTGGGGGTGATGGCAGATATTGGAGAAGAGCCAATCACAGGCGTCGTAGAGCCAGGGAGGGAAGATGGTGACTCACCTCCATCCAGACCACCTGTAGCAGGTGCAATGATTAGAGTGGTTAACTCACAGTACATGGGGTATCTTATTGGCAATATGCACCCATTTTCTCTAAAAAATTTATACGATATCTATGATCTATCCAAAATTATAGGGATCTATAGTTTCAGGAACAGATGAACAGTGGCCTATTACCTATGCTTTTGCTTTTCTTGGGTTTGGGTGCGGGAGGCAGAAGCTCCACCTCCTCCTGGGGCATCATGGCAACTTTCTGCAGGAAAATCTTCTCCAAGGCCTGTGCCATCAGGACAATGTCATCTGTAGGCTGTTGGGCAATGTAAAAACAGGAAGTGAGAAACATGAGTGGGAAACGCAATGCGGAAACTTGAGATCAATTTAAAAACATAGAGCTTTGGGACTAGCCCTGGGAGAATATGCAAACATATTAGAGACTATAATATTAAATCCAGAATAAATGGACCCCTAGGAGAGACAGTATGTATTTACTCTCATGGAGCACTCACCTTGTTATATATGTAACAGTTGGTGAACATGGTGTTGAAGTCCTGCATGCATTCACTGGCACTCCAATAGTAGTTATGTTCCAGTCTCTTTTTGATGGTTCCCATGTCCATAGGTTGCTTTATGATCTTATGGTAATCCTGATACACAGAAAATGCAAAACATTGTCAGCTGCAAGTCTTCTGCACTGTGATCTATCTATAGGTATTGGCTTTCTGACATTTATTACACCCATTCTCAATATCTACAGTCTACTCACCATAAGACCCAATTTGATGGCATCAACTGGCACGTAGAAAGGCCAGGCAAAGTTGTGCTTCCACAATGTCTTGACCATTACATTCTGCATGTACTGTAGTTGGTTGGTTTTACGACCTGGTTTGGTGGGATTGGTAACCTCCGGGGGGGGTGGGTTGACTCCCTGAAGAGGGGCCGGGGTTGCTGAGTTGACAGCAGACATGGTTGCGATGGGAAGGGGGTGGTATTTTAGGAGTCGCTGTTACCTCTCAGATGGACAGGGCGGGAGACGGACACCTTCTCAGTGGGTGGTGTAGTTCTGTTCTTTCTGCTCTTTAGTGGCCTGGGAGGAACTGCATCTCATTGCAGGGCCTGACCTTTTGACCTATGAAAAACAGAGCAGTGTGATGGCCATGAGTCTTCATCATAAGAGTAAGTGTGGCAGCCAAAAATCCACGACCCAGGTATAATACCTCAAACCACAACATTATACCTGGGATAACATGACAGGAAGCAATTCTGATAAGAAACTAGGGCCTTTTCATCACACAATTTAAAAAATGTAAATGGATAAACGTCTCCTAACAGACAGCTGGCTAATGTGTCCCTGGAGAGATGTGTTGTCATCTCCAGGTTTGAGGCATATTGTCTAGACCCCAATCTGACACCTGCACATCATGCAGCTTGGTCTTGGATTTTCCTTTCACCATAGAATTGTATTTGGCACGTGGGGACAAGTACAGCTTACAGTGATCATGCAAATGTTCAGGGAGCAAAGGTACAATATTATAACACTAAATAATAACAACGTCTAAATAACCAACTAGCAATTCAATTAATTAACCACAGCAACCACAAACCATTTCATCCCATACATCACCAAGCAACCTGCAAAACTGACTGACTACAGCACAGCTGATCTAGCAACAAGTCTCACCCTGAGTAGTGTAATTGCTGTTGCTGTGATAACGTTAATGCAATCTGTACTAAGGACACTTCAATAATGACAACTCCACAGATATTGTTCGGTATCTCCGTCAATACGTAGTAGTAGCTACTAGCTTTACACAAACATAAGTTAGCTATATATATATATATATATATATATATATATATATATATATATATATATATATATATATATTTGACCGTGAAAAATGTAGCTGGCCAGCTAGCACGTAGAAGCCATGATGTGCATATATATAAATCATTCGTAGTAACGTTAGATAGCTAGTTAGTAGCTGACGTTAGGCGCTGCTCCCGCGTAAACAATCACATAAACTAGTTTACTAGCTAGCTAAATTGCTAGTTACAAATAAAAGCCAACACTCGCTGTATAGCATTTGTTCGTTTCGTTGAAAGCGCTGCAATACTGTATGTAACGGCACGGCATCTTATGGCAAAATTTTGGAATTAGTTATCTAGCTAAACTGTTTCTGATATCTGCTCAACAAAACGCACGTAATTTAGCTAACTAGCAAGCTATACTAGCCAGCATCAAGCGCGGGGGAAATGCAAAGGGATCTTGAAACACTTTTGGAACAATTCGCGCGGACTCCTTTCTTTGCACTCCGTGGTTAGAGTGTCCAGACAATGCCGTGTAGCGAGCTAACGTGGCTAGCTCATAGAAAATGAGACGTAGATATTATTCACTACAGTATAAATATTTGACTGCCTAGCTAAACATCAATACACCAAAACCAAATAGGTGGTATATTGGGCTCCATTGCAACATTCTCCAAAAAGATGGCGGGCATATGATATTAGCCTTTAGCTATCGCTAGGTAGCTAACGTTAACAGACGATTTAACTTCACTCCCCTACCTAGCTAACTACGAACAGTTTCATCAGATATATATTTTATAACCCTCCTTGTTTTATCTGTGATTTCCACAAGAGCATGTAGCTATTGCTACCACAACTGCGTAGCTAGCTATGTAGCTAGCTAATTTACCCACAATAATCTCTTATGTTAAACGCTTCGCGCCAATATTGCCAAAATATTTAACCCAATAGACAAGTAATTTACGTTATGCTTTGTTGTATTATTGCAATTCGCTGTCAGACTGAGCTTTGCTGAAAAACATCGGACGTTAGCAAGCTTGCTTAGTTAATGCTAACAAGCGTTTCAGCACCACCTTTTTCATAACATTGAAGTATGAATGTTACATGATTCGCTAAAGAAACGCTATTATCATAATAAATATGGTGAAATATAAATATTTTTATGCATTACTTTCTTGAGGGCTCCGATGGGTTTGCCTGTAGCTGGTAGTCCGAGTTGCTCTTGTTTTATTTGAGTGAGGCCGAGCAGCATGAAGATGAGGTTGCTCATGCGCATTGGCGCGCGGTTTGTGATCAATTTACTGGCGCTGAAGACTACGCTGCCCCAACATGCGTGTTGTTCAGTGTATATAATGCATTATACTATCAAATATTTTCGAGTATACTGAAAACTGAAGTATGCATTAATAGAGGCCACGTTAAATAAATGCATGGGCTGCAATAATGTGCAATACAAATAAACAGCTGGAATGGCTTTATCTTCAGCTGGCAATGTATGCCATGGATGGATTACTTTACCATTTATTATGGATATTTCACAAATCTGTTTAAGATTATATTGACCTGTAAACATTCAAATGAAACAGATGGATGAGTACCTGGGATGAGTGCTGACACCTTCCCCTCTGTTTTTTCTCCTGGTTCTGTCTGCTGTGTTTTACAGAGAACCACAACCTCCTCTCAGGGCAGGGCGTCTCCGGTTCTGCACTCCTACCTGGCAGGTTGGTCTAGGACACCCCAGCCTTATAGTCACCTGTCTTGAGCACACTCATTCCTGTCTCTGATTCTGCTCTACCTGTGCCCTCTCTTCCTAGCTGCCCTGGATCTGCACATAGTGATAATAACTATGTGGTTAAGTTAGTATAAATATTCATACACGTCTGTCTTTTGATGTGTCTTGACCTGTGCAACTAGGTTTATCGCAGTCCAAAACCCAAAGTTTACAAACGTAACTCCATTCAGAACAACCATCGAAGCGTCCCACCTCGCTTGCCGTATGCATTGTCTAAGCACACATGCGCAATGTGAGTCGTCTTCACTGCCACATTCCCCGCCTGAGCCCTAAACTGAAACGAACTGGTCCTAGATTTTTTTTCTTGCTCAATTAGTGCGAAAATACATTACTCGTATTTATAGGCTAAACACGTTAGTGTAATTCATCAGATTTCTTCCTAAAGGAAAAAAAAGTCGGCCGAGCAAATACATTTTAACATTGGGCCTTAACGTGAGTATCCCTGATTTTATTGTTTGAATGGAGTAACGTCAGCTAGCTAGCCTGGTAGCTAGAAGAGCTTAGTTGCATTGCATGTGCAGTGAGAAGTTCGCCAAACGAGAGAGGAAGGCCATGTGTGTTTAACATAGTTAGCTATCTTTTGAAGGATAGGATTTATACAATAACTAGCTGGATTAAAACCATTAGCTAGCTATTATCACCAACAAGACACACACTACGTTAGTGTGTTCGCGAACAGCATTGCTAGCTATCGTAACTAGAAAAGAAACACAGGCCCATCTGCGGTGCTTCCACAACTGCGGTTAATGAGGTTAGCTAGCGAACTCATGGTCATTTGTTTACTTGCAATGGCAGTTAGCAAGCTGGCCAGCCAGTAAGGTAACATAGTATCTCCTCTATTTCGCCAGACAAACTACATAGTTAACTACTCGGCTAACTATCTAACTAACGTCACTTAACGTTAGCTGTGCCATCCATGATGACTGGGTGGGTAGGAAGCAAGTGTGTGGCGGTAATTTACCAGTAGTTACGTTAAACAGAATTGTATCTAATATTGTTATATTCATCTACAAACTAAAGGGTAGCATTTTCCTATCCTTGCATTTCCCCTGACATTATCGTCATTGTATCTAGCAGACTAAACTCAACTCCATTGTCGTCACTAATTACCACAGTCACAAAGTCAGAAAGCCCGCCTACTCGACCAATCAGCTGGAGTGTGATGATGCGTATGCCTGCGTACGGTTCGTGGGAAACGACTAATCAGATGACGGAGTGTATGCCTATCAGCGTGAAGTGGCGGACGAGGGACATGGGGTGTTTCTCAATATGCATGCTACCATGCTCCACACGCACATCAAAGATTTTTATAACTAAACCAAGATAGACCACAGCCTGTCGTTTCCAATGGAAACAAATGAGTCATAGTGGGTAGAACAAGCAAGGAGGTGGGCAGAGCCAAGCACAAGCTAGCGAGATCCTATTGGCGTGTCCTAGCATCATCTGCATATTTCCGTTAGGGAACGCCTACTCGGTGAAGTGCGCGTGTGCAATAACTCAATTCGCCTTTGTGCACCTTCTAAACTATGCGATTTTTAAAACTTTTGCAAAGGGCAAAGTCTACAAAACTTAGTCCACTCTGTTCATAACATATTCTAGTGTTGGGAACAGAAAACTGTATTGAGATCAAATGTTTCTTAGATGAGAAAATGTGCAGAATGTCGGCCAAAATCCATCTCGTTCCATCTTCTCCCACTGCCCGCCAGTGGGCTTCCTCGCACTACCATATTTGGTAGTGAGTGGAAACGCCAAGCGGATGCTTCACATTTATACATCCAGTGAAATATGTCTCATTGTTCCATCTGTGCTCTCATGCTCCGAGTGCATTCTCTGACCACGTTCTCTTGAGTACCTTCTTGTGAGGACGAAGTGTGGAGAATGCATAAAACAATACATTTGAGAAGCACTCGCACTCCCCCTACTGTATTACCTCACACTTCACTGAACCTTCTTCCAGCCAGGACAATGGCAACAATAGACGAAACAAGATATACACAAAGCAACCGTTTTATTCATAACTATCAGCTAACTATATGTGAATTGTAATAATGTAGCTAACCAGATAGTTTAACAGGTGAAAATGGCCTAAAACTAATATTAAGCAAGATACATGTCAATTCATCATGGGTAGCTGGCTAACAATTATTTGTTGCTATCTGTCTAGCTAACAGTACTAGTAGTTAGCCACTTAGCCCTATTGACTTATTATGGGCTTGCTGTCTATGGTACAGCATGTATTTATTAACGCATCAATATCAAATATTGTAGTCAGGCAACATATGCGATGTTAATAGGCAACATTTCATTCTGAAGTCGGAAGTGTATTTTCTCTCGATCAGCTCAAATAATGTCTGCCATTGATTTCA